CTACCTCTTGGGCTTAAGCGATTCTCTTGCCTCAGCCTCCCAGGTAGCTGGGACTACAGGCACCCGCCACAACGCCTGGCTATTTTTTTATTGCAGTTGTCATTGTTTAGCTGGCCTGGACTGGGTTTGAACCCCCCAACCTGGGTGTATGTGGCCAGCACTGGTCACCACTGTGCTGTGGGCACTGAACAAGAATTGGTTACTGTTAATGTTCCAGGATTTTGGAATTTAGTGTTTTTTAAAAAGTTTAAAATTTTTTTAGTAGAATTGAATTTATCAGTCTAAGTGGTGTCATTGTCTGATCTGAAAAGACACTGGCAATGATACAACATATGTCATTTGGTTTTCTCTTGAGGGAAATGGAAATCAATACTAACAAATTTCTAATAAGAGAAATGAATGCGATACATTTATGGGAAATGTATATGTGTGGTATGTATGTGTGTGTGTGGGGGGGAGAGTTTTAATCTGATTTGAGAATTTAGGTGCTAAATAGAAATGTGGACCATGATAATGGAAATAAATAGCTACATTCTCTGTATCCGTACATATTTTGTTCCAAAATGTTATTTCTTTCCTGATAATTATATTGCTTTATTCCTTGCACAATGAAGACTTCCTTTTTCTACTTTTTTCAGGAAATACTTTGGCATCTCAGTGAGATACATGGCCTGTCTTTTGCATGCATTATTAAGGCAATCACGATGATTCTGCTCTAGCTCTCTGAAGACAAGTATCTCATGAGCCTCCTTTATCCCTAGCAAGGTGTAACAAGAGTGAAATTTAATTGCATGTGAGAATAAGAACAATTTTGGTTTATAGATAATATCCACAGTAATAACATTTCATTTGATTCAGATGGTTATGACTCAGAAAAAGGAAAGGTTCAATGTGATTAAGGAGTTGCAGTAAAATGTAATGATTAAGAGGGTAGGTTTCAGAGTCAGGCTGCTTGAATGCAAATTCTGGATCCACAGTTTCAATTTTCTGGTGGGAATGGACCAACTAACCTTTGTAGGTTTTAGTTTTTCTTTACATTAAAAAAAAAAAAAGGAGCCAATAATCTAATTTCTTTATAGGACTGTTGAGAAGATTAAATGTGATAATTTAGATAAAGTGTTAGAACAGTGCATAGTATACACATATAGTCAGTGTTCAATAAATTTAGGCCTTATTGTTACAGTAAAGTGAAATAGTGACTTTCTAGGAGTTCTGTTTTGAAGGTTAATTATGTATCCAAAAATTTATAAATGCATTGAGAATGTTAAAAGTGTATATGAATATGGAATGATATTATATTCATTTAATGCAATGGTTCTCAACCCGTGGGTCATGACCCCTTTTTAACAATGAAGATACATTGCGGCGTTAGGAAGGTTGAGAATCACTGATTTAATGAATATCAAAGAATTGTGTCAAATGCCCATTCTGAGGGTTCCTGGTTTTTCTGTGTGCATGTTTGACAAACAGTAATCTCTCCTATTAAAGAATTTTAAAAGGCTGGGTGTGGTGGCTCACACCTGTAATCCTAGGATTCTAGGAGGCCAATGCGAGTGGCTTGCCTGAGCTCATGAGTTCAAGACCAGCCTGAGCCAGAGGGAGACCTCTTCTCTAAAAATAGTCTGGCTTTGTGGCAGGCATCTGTAATCCCACCTACTTGGGAGGCAGAGGCAAGAGAATCACTTGAGCCCAAGAGTTTGAGGTTGCTGTGAGTTGTGATGCCGGGGCCACTGAGTGAGTCGCAAAAAAAAAAAAAGAGAATTTGAAAAGATTATATAGCTTTCATTTTATCAGTAATATTTTAAAAATATTTTTCATCTTGCATGTGGAGAAGTTTGAAGAATTTTTCATTTTGCACAGTGTTGTGGAAAGTCCATCCACAATCACATGTTATTTTCTGATGTTTTCTCAAGGTTCTTTGCTGCATCTGGAGGTATGGGTGGCAAGAAACTAAGACGAGTGGGTTTATCACAAGAGCTGTGTGACCGTTTGAGTAGGCATCAGATTGTTACCTGTAAGGTAAAATTCATTTAAATTTTTTCACTGAGAACTTATACATATGAATTAAATATACCTTAATTAAACCTTAAACCTGAAATGTGAAATAAGTTTATAAAACTTAGGTTTATAAGAATATACTTTTGATGGTGCTTTTCCATAGGCTAATTTTAAATAACAAGTCACCTGGGATGCATTTCTAATTGTGATTTCATTTACCAAAATTTTCTATTTTTGCATTTGAGGGAGAGAAGGATCATGTCATAAGGTGAAGTACACCTCTGCTATTTTGGGGAGGTTCTAGAGAAGTTTTATGTGCTTAAAAGAAATTTTGTAGTTACATGAGAAATAGGACTCAAATGAGATAGTATTAAAATAGATAATTTCTTATTGACAAAGCCTGAGAAATGTATAAAGCTGATGTTTCATGTTTAAGCAGAATAGTGATGCAAATCCCTCTTAGAAGGGTAAATAAGATTTAAGGTTTTATCTTAGGATTTTATCCTTAATAATACAGATTTTTCAGAGTATGCTGCAGGTTTTTTGAATTGCTTTGTATCTTAAAGATATTTTTGGTTCCTCTGTTAGACATTTTATAATTCTCATCATGTTCATATTTTGAAATGTTCTTACAAGTATGAAATTTAACATTTCATTCCCTAATCAGTTATATTATTGAATGCTGTCTCTGAGTGAACTCCTAGCTTAGAAGGAAACTCATTGCAGCTGGACACTTTCTGGACCTATGCTCGTGTCTGAACTCTTTTTGGCACAAGTACAGCACTGCCACACCCTGGATTGGATGCTGTTGCTGTATGATGTAACTGGGTGTGTCTTCTGGGATATGCCAACTAAACTGGATATTTACCCTTGATCTTACCAAAAGGCTGAGAAGCAATTAAACTGGATATTTAGAAGATATGACTATGTTGTCATATCTTTTAATTAAGGCCTATTTGTGGGAAAAATAGTGCATAAACCTTTGATCTACAAAAAATTACTTTTATTTACATATGGACAGTATGAATTGAAAGTTTCCTTTTAATTCCAATATCTTTGTTATGCATATAGGTTTAAAATATTGTCTTTATGTCACTTTAGGACTTTCTATGTCTTTCCCCGCTGGAGCTTGTGAAGATGACTGGCCTGAGTTATTGTGGTGTCCATGAACTTCTGCGTATGGTCAGCAGGGCCTGTGCCCCACAAATGCAAACGGTATATTTTTATTATGACTTGATTATGATTTGATTATTAAAGATTCTTTATCGCAGAGTCTTTTTTGGGATGAGACAATTGCAAAAATAGAGATAAGTTACCTCAAAAATACTGAGACTCCTACCATACAGTTACTTCTCTCTTTAGAATATATGTGAAAAATATATGTAATTTGTAAGCTCATGGCAGACAATCCCCTAATATGGGAATTAGGGAGCAACAGGAAGTTTTTTTTTTTTTTCTGTTGCTGATAGACATTATTTCAAAATGTCATCTTTCTCTTGATTAACTGAGTAGGATTTGAGGGCCACATGGTTAAATCATAACCTACTCAAATGTGGAATGCCCTTTCTCTGCAATACTTTACTGTCCTCAGTTTACATCATAAAGTACACATAATTGTACTTATACTTGCTTATTTTTAAAAACAATTTATTTGTTTAGCTTTTATTTATTTGATTTTTAGAGACAGGGTCTCACTGTGTGGCCTAGGCTACAGTGCAGTGGCATGATCATGGTGTATTGTAACCTCAAACTCCTAGGCTCAAGTGAGTCTCCTGCCTTAGCTTCCCTAGTAGCTAGGACTACAGGTGTGTGTCATCATGTTTAGTAAATTATTTCAAAAGAAGTTTTTGTAGAGATGGGGTCTTGCTATGTTGCCTAGGCTGATCTCAAGCTCCTGGTATCATGTAGTCCACTCACCTTGGCTTCCCAAAGTGTTGAGATTACAGGTGTGAGCTACCCTACGGACCCTCTGCTTGATTATTGATTGAATAAATTATACTTAAAGATCTATCCTCACTTTTGAAAAAAGTTGAAGTCTTTTATAACAAAAGTCTTATACTGTTTTGTCATACTTTCTGTGTCATGACTATAGATTTTCAAAATGTAGATTTGGGACAGGATCTTGTTTTCTCAGAGTAAGAGTTACCAAAAAGTCTCTTGAATGCTTCGCAAATATACTTATTTATGTGAACTGTAAATTACTTACTTTACTATCTTGTATTGAAATTTGATAACCCCTGAGCAATAAAGTAAGATGGAATTCTCTGAAGAAGAAAAGAAGGAAGGAATGTTGGTGTCATTTGAAACTTCTGAAAACAATAACAAACAGAATATTTGAACAGCAGATAAGTTCTTTTGTTCAGGTGTGGTTTGTGATCTAAGGAGAAGACCTTGAACAGAGGATGGTCAGAAGGAGGATTATGATTGGAGTAGAATCGGGAACCACTATTATTGGCTTTATCATTGATTTCATTGCTTTGAACAGCTCTCTTTGTTTTATGGTAAAAGGTAGAAAAGTTATAAGAGTATGTGGAAAACAAAACTGTGGATGAGGGGAAACTAATGTACCATGTACCTGGCTTTAGAGATAGTTGCTAGTCCCCAAAGTTTTCACCTCACACTGTTACCCTCTTCTAACCACTTCTGCTCTTCAGAATGCTTGTTGTATCTTCTGACAGATCGAAGTTCTGGGATTACTCACCTTCAAGCTGTCACAAACCAACCTGAGTATCTCTTTGAAATGATAATTTGTTGTATTAGTTCCCTGGGGGCAGCTCTAACACAAATTACTACAAAGTGCCAGGTGGCTTCAAACAGAAATTTATTCTTTTCTAGTTTGGGAGGCCAGAGGTCGGAAATTATGGTGTTGGCAAAGCTGCACTCTCTCCGGAGGCTCTAGTCTATAGGATAACCCTTTCCTTGCCTCTTCCAGCTTTTGGTAGCTGTTGGCATTCCTTGACTTGCGGCCACTTCTCTCTGTTCCATCTTCCCATTGCCTTTTCCTCTGTATAGTGAATCTCCCTCTGCTTTGTTCTTATAACTATACTTGTAATGGTTTTTAGGGTCCACTTGGATAATCCAGGATTATCTCTTCATTGTAAAGTCTTTAACTTAATCATATCTGCAGAAATTCTTTTTGCAAATTTGGTAACATTCATAGAATGGTTCTTTAAGATTTGATATGGATGTCTTCTGGAGGGGTCATTTCTCAGCCCATGATGTCTCCCTTCAAGCTGTTCTTCGCAAAGCAACCTGAGTTTGAGATGATAACTAGATCATGTCACTCCTTTCTGCTCACAGCATAAACCCCAAACTCCAACAGAGCTCTTCATAATTAAGACCTTGCTTACATCTTCAGCCACATTGCTTGCTGTGTGAAGCCCACACTTCATATTTCAACCATTCTTTTCTTTGAGACGGAGTCTCACTATGTTGCCCTCAGTAGAGTGCTGTGGTGTCCCAGCTGACAGCAACCTCAAACTCTTGGGCTTAAGTGATTGTCTTGCCTCAGTCTCCCAAGTAGATGGGACTACAGGTGCCCACCACAACACCCAGCTATTTTTCTGTTGCAGTTGTCATTGTTGTTTAGCTGATCCGGGCTGGGTTTGAACCTGCCACACTTGGTGTATGCAGCTGGCACTGTAACCACTGTGCTATGGGTGCTGAGTCAATCTTTCAGCCATTCTAAATGAACTCTTTATTTATTTATTTATTTAGTTATTTTTTTTGAGACTGAGTCTCACTGTGTTGCCCTCGGTAGAGTGGTGTGGCATCATAGCTCACAGCAACCTTAAACTCTTGGGCTTAAGCAATTCTCTTGCCTCAGCCTCCCAAGTAGCTGGGAGTACAGGCACCCACTACAATGCCCAGCTATTTTTTGTTGCAGTTGTCACTGTTGTTTAGCTGGCCCCGGCTGGGTTTGAGCCTGCCAGCTTCAGTGTATGTGACTGGCTGTGTAACCACTGTGCTATGGGTGCCGAGCCTGAACTCTCTTATTTTTTGGAGGTTTTATTTATTTATTTATTTTTTTAGTTTCTGTTTCTTTTTGCCTTTTGATCTTTCTTTGTGCATTCTGTCCTCATTGGCAGGAACATTCACCTTCCCTTCGTTTATCTAATAGCAATTCCAGATTTTTACGTCAGACATCTAACTCTTCTATGAAGCCTTCCTGGATCACAAAAGCCAGATCAGGTATATTGCTTTTATGTGTCCACTTCCCTGGCACAGTATCTCTTATTAGTTTTGTTGTAATTGCCCAGTTTCAAGTCCTAACTTCATAGTTCCTGTACATTCTTAACTGTAAGACTATCAGTTATGTCATATCCCTACAATTGGACAAGCTCCCTGGCACAGAATAAATATTGGTTGAATAAACATAGAGGGAGAAAGGATGGCTTGGGATTGCAGCTGCTAAAATCTAGAGAATGGGGGTTGGTTTGTGTTTTTGATAGATATAGAGGTTGAAAAGAACTTCATCATTCTCTTGTTCAGGCTTACAGGATAAAGACACGCAGGTCTGCTGATGTCGCACCAGCTTTCTTGTCTACTACCCTTCCCGCCTTGGATGAAGCCCTGTGTGGGGGTGTGGCTTGTGGATCCCTCACAGAGGTAAAGGAAAAACTTCATACCTTCAGAGCCTGAGGAAGAAAGTTTACTTAAAAAACATAAATTATTTCTTGAACACTAATCTGAATTAAATTTTAGATACCTAAGAGTGTGGTTCTCTACTCAGTACTTAGCAGATAGCTCTGCAGATAAAGGTGTTAAGAAAATATTTGTTGACTACAATCTGCTTGGGCTGCTGTTTCTTTGAGTTAGCTTAGAAAATGATAAATGTTAATTTTATGAAGTAATATTATGAAACAATTTGGGGAAATTAAAAAATGATTATTACTTATAAACTAGAAAGGCAGATTTGAAATTTTATTAACATGGGCAAATTATAATATTAAACTAATGTGAGCTACTTTTACTTTTAATGTAGATAAAATTTGGTCTAGGAAGTTTTAGGTTATTGGATTAGCTAATGCTGTTGTATAATGAATTACTCCAAAGTACGTGATTTAAAACAACAGTAAACATTTATTATTTCCCAGTTTCTTTGGAGTGGCTTGGCAATATTGGCAAGGGATGCAGTTATTTAAAGCGTAGTTGGGGCTGGAAGATCATTTTCCTAAGGGTCTCACGCACGTGACGGGCAAGATGGTGCTGGCAGTGGGCAGGAGGCCACAGTTTCTCTCCATGTGGGCTCTTAACAGGCTGCTAGAGTCTCCTCCTGATGTTATGGCTGACTTCACTCAGGGTGAATGGTCCTCAAAAAGGCAAGAGGATACTGTTGATGACCTAGGTTTGGACGTTATATATTACTGCTTCTGCTACATTTTCTCTCTCTCTCTTTTTTCTTTTTCTTTTTTTTTTTGAGACCAAGTTTCACTCTGTGCCCTGGGTAGAGTGCCATGGCATCATAGCTCATAACAACCTCATATTCTTGGGTTCAAGTAAACCCCTTGCCTTAGCCTCCCCAGTAGTTGGGACTACAGGTGCCTGCCACAATGCCCAGCTAGTTTTTCTATTTTTAGTAGAGGTGGGGTCTCACTCTTAGGCTGGTCTCAAACTCCTGAGTTCAGGTGATCTACTCACCTAGGCTTCCTAGAGTGCTAGGATTACAGGTGTGAGCCATGGCACAAGGCCAACTGCTACATTCTCTTCATTAGAAGTGAGAAAAGTCCAGCCCATACTCAGGGAAAGGGAAACTAGGCTCTATGTTTTGGAGGAAAATGTGTCAAGGATCTGAGGATATTTTAAAACAACTGGTTTTTTCCTTTTTTTAATTAAATCATTTGTACATAGATCATGAATACATTTATGCCATTATGGGATTCAATATGTTGATTATTTGTACAAATTTGAGTGCTTACATCCTGCTAGTCAACATAGCCTTTACCTCATTTACCCAATTACAGCGTTAAGACATTTGTGTTCTACAACTGATAGATCCAACTTGTAATATGCTCCATAGGTGTGGTCCCCCTACTAACCCTACCACTATCGATCCAACCCTCTGCCTTTCACCTCCCTCCCCTTCCTTCCTTTATCCAAGGGTATAGTTGTGTTTCATTTTTCATATGCAAGTGTGAGTGATTATAATTTGGTTTTACAGTACTACTGAGTACATTGGATATTTTTTTTCCATTCCTGAGACATTTTACTAAGAAGAATATTTTCCAGCTCCATCCATGTAAACATAAAAGAGGTAAAGTCTCCATTTTTTTAATGCTATATAGTATTCCATAGTATACATATACCACAATTTATTCATCCATTCATGGGTCAATGGGCACTTGGGCTTCTTCCATGACTTGCAATTATGAATTGAGCTGCAGTGAACAATCTGGTGCAAATATCTTTATTGCCAAATGATTTTTGGTCCTTTAGATATACACTTAGAAGAGGAATTGCAGGATCAAATGGCAGATCTACATTTAGATCCCTGAGTGTTCTGCAAACTTCCTTCCAAAAAGAACTTACTAGCTTGCATACTAGCTTACTTAGCTAGCTTAGCTTACTAGCTTACTTAGCTAGCTTACTAGCAGCAGTGTAGAAGTGTTCCTTTTTCGCCACATCAACGGGAACATCTGTAGTTTTGGGATTTTGTGATGTGGGCTACTCTTACTGGAGTTAGATGGTATCTCAGAGTATTTTTGGTTTGCATTTCTCTGATGATTAAAGATGATGAGCATTTTTTCATGTGTTTGTAGACCATGCGCCTGTCTTTTTCTCAGAGAAGCTTCTTTTCATGTCTCTTGCCTACAATGAAATGGGATCACTTGTTTTTTTTCTTAGTAATAAGTTTGAGCTCCCTGTTGATTCTGGTTATTAGACCTTTGTTGGAAATAGAAGTTGCAAAAATCCTCTCCCATTCTGAGGGCTGTTTATTTGCTTTACTTAGTGTGTTTTTGGCAGTGCAGAAGCTTTTTAATTTGATCAGATCCCAATATTTTTGATATTGCTTCAATTGCCTGGGGTGTCCCCCTCATAAAGTGTTCTCCCAGGTCAATTTTTTCAAGTGTGTCCCCTGTACTCTCTCCAATTATTTTTATAGTTTCATGTCTTCAGTTTAAGTCCTTTAACCAGTGAGAGTCAATTTTTGTTAGAGGAGAAAGGTGTGGGTCTAGTTTCAGTCTTCTACAGGTTGCCAGCCAATTCACCCAGCACCATTTGTTGAATAGGGAATCTTTCCCCCAATTTATATTTTTGTTAGGCTTATCAAATATCAAATGATGGATAAGTGTCAGGGTTCACCTCTTGGTCTTCAATTCTGTTCCATACATCTACTCTATTTTTGTGCCAGTATAGTCTGAGGTCTGGAAGTGTGATTTCTCCCGATTTGTTTTTATTTTTGAGTAATGTCTTGGCTATTTGAGGTTTTTTCTGTCTCCATATAAAAATGAAGTACTAATTTTTCCAGGTCTTTAAAGTATGACAGAGGTGCTTTGATAGGGATCGCATTAAATCTGTAGATTGCTTTAGGTAGTATAGACATTTTAACAATGTTGATTCTTCCCAGCCATGAGCATGGTATGTTTTTCCATTTCTTAACATTTTCAGCTATTTCTTTTCTTAAAGT